CCGCCGCAGACCCCTCGCCACCGCGGAGCCGCCGGCCCGCCCCCTGCCTCTCCCCAGCCCTATCTCCAGCCCTGCCGGCTTCCCGAGAGACCCCTCAGACCACGCCCCAACTGGCATGGGGACCCCGAATCTCCCAATGGACACCTCGGATCGTGTCCCAATATCCCGAGGAATCTCAGGTCATGCCTTACCTCCCTCGAGGACCCAGAACATGTTCTACAGCCAACCAGGACCACAAACCACGTCCTACTCTCCTTGGTGACCTCCCCACTCTGCCCCACACCCTCTCAGGGACCCCAGACCATGCCCTCAAATCCAGGGAGACCCCATACCATATTCCCCAGCTTCCAAGGGGATCCAGAGCACCCCCATCAGGGACACTAAATCATACCCCAACATTCAGGTGGACCTCAGACTACATCTCAGTCCTCGGGGACTCCAGATCATACCCCAATATCCAGAGAGGATGCAGACAGTATGTCAACATCCAGGAGACCTCAGATCATGCCTGACTCCCTCTGGGGACCCAGACCATGTTTTACAGCCACCCAGGACCACAAATCATATCCCGCTCTTTTTGGGGGACCCAACCACATTCTTCTGCACTCTAAGACCTCAAACAATTCCCTGACTTCCAATAGGGACCCCAGATTGTGTCTAGGTTCTAGGGGGCCCAAATATGTCTCTTGTCCCCATGGAAAACCCTAAACTTTCCCCATCACCCCCATTAGACCCTGACCAGCCTCCCCTCCAAGGCCCTTGGTTTCTAAGATCCCGATTCGCCCCAATTCTTTCCCACCATCCCCACCAGTCCTGCCCTTGCCAGGCCCCTGCCTCCTCCCTGCTTGCTTTTTCTTTCTTGGACCCTGCAAACCCTACCTCCTTTCCCGTGACTTCAGCAGAGTCCAGGATTCCTTCTTCCTTCCTTGTTCAGACCCCTTTGCCCAACTCCTACCCAATGACCCCCCACCTCTTCTCCAAATCCTATTGAATATCACTCTTCACCTCTTTCCTGGATAGTCACTGGGCCTCCAAACTCAGCAAGGCCTCACTTCAAAGTCTGTCTTATTGTAGTCCCCCAGATCCCTAGAGGTACAAGTCCTTCCATTTTGGATCCCACTGTATCAGGGTCCTCCCCCACACCCTTTCCCTCAATTCTTCCTTGCCATGTCATCACACAAAGCCTGCCCTGTCCCTCAGATCCAAGGCATCTCTGCAGAGCTTCCCTCTAGTGAACCTTGACCCCACTCACAACCATTAGATGCTCCCTGAGGACGCTCACAATCCTTCCCCACTCCCAGTCTCCACCACCCTCACCGCCACCTCCCACCCTGGTTCCTATTGCTCCCCGCCAGGGCATGGAGGTCCAGGGCTGGAAAAAACAGAAGTGGGAGAATAATAACAGCAAAAGTGGACACATGTCCAGCACTGCTTGTGCAGGGAATGGTTCTAAGGCTTCACATAGATGACTCTTAATTCGAATGTAATCTCTTCACAGAGGCCTTCCTTTTCCATCTCCAATGGACACCTTCCCCCTGTCCCCAATGGCCCTGATGTCTGCAAATTACTTTGAAATACGTACAGGATAAGAAGGGTTGATGGCTGGATAGATGCATGGATATGTGATAAAGCGGATGAGGTAAAACGTTAATGGTGGTATCTAGATGTTGGGTATATGGTGTTCACTGTAACATCGTTTAGACTTTGCTGCATGTTTTTTCATAAAAGTTGGAAGAAAAAAAAGCTGAAGGACGCTTCTAAAGAGGCAGCAAAAAAAAATTGCCCCAACAGGTCCCACCACTTCTAACGCATCGCCTCATTTTATTTCCCTCTTAGCACTTATCATTCTTGGTTATGATCTTGTTTGCTTATTTGTCTGCCTATTTATTGTTTACTTATTTGTTTATTGATCATTGTCCAGTCATTGAAATGTAAGCCTCCTGAGGGGATTGGCATGGACACCAATTTTCTCCAGTGTCTAGAAAACCAGTTGGCACTCAGTGGGTGCTCAGTAAATGTGTTCCTGAATGGCTCTGGGGAGAGAGGACCTGGGAGCTAGGTCCGCTGCAGACTGACTGCAGAGGCCACACTCGGGAATAAACGGAATCTCCCAGCCGGGGGTCACTAGCTGGGTGTGCCCCATAAGGTCAGGGAGTGTTAGCCTGAAAAAGAGGGCTACAGGTGGAAGGAGATAGTGCGATCGTTTCTCTGGGACCCTAATTCCTGCCCCAGACCAATCTCATTCTTCCATAACTTAGGTCCTTCCCTCTGTTTCCAAGGCCCCACCTTAGAGCAAAAACCCAAGCCTTATCTGACCAAAGCAAAGTGCCTCAAGGTAGGTCCCATCCCCCAAACCTGAGTTCCACCCCTTAGACACTACCCTAAAGTATATAATAGGTAGTAAGACTTCTTCAGCTTACAACCCTCAGACTCACCTCCCCACGCCCGCAAGTCTAAACTCCATTCTGCAGCCTGAGCCCCACCTCTCCATTTCAGGCTCCACCCTATAAGCATCTAGTTTTCAGGCACTGGCCCCTCATGCTTACTCTGAACCATCCATTCTCAGCTCCTCTTAAAATCCAGTCCCAACCTGGACTGGATTCCATTCTAGGTTAGCAGGGAGAAGTGCCTCCAAGGGGAGCCTAGGGCCAGGACTCAAAAATTAGGGAGCCTGGACCTGTGGGACCCTAGAGGGGAGGTTGGTGGAAAGGGAGGAGGTAGTCCCTAGTTTGTACCGCCCCTTGAAGGAGTGGCCCCAAATCCAAAGCCACGCCCCCATTGTGCTGACTCTTCATTGGATAATGTATTCTGTTCTGGCTTCTCTGATTGGTACCTCCATAATCCCTCTAGCCGAACATACTTTGCTTTGGACTGCCCCTCAGGGTCACTCTCTCTGATTGGTCCCTGCTTTCCAAACTCCCGGCTCCTGATTGGGCAACTCCTTGTACATGCCTCTTTCTGATTGGATTGATTGCAATCATAAGCCTGGATGCAGACAGAAGTTCAACAAATGGGGAGGAGGAGAAGGAAGAGGAGGGGATGGCTCCCTAAATCCCCTGCCTAACAGAGGAAATAGCCATTGGCCACAAGATACCCTTGAGTTAAAATAAAGTTCTAATTGTACAGACGCCTATCTGTGTGACTTCAGGCAACCATTTTTAGCTTTTGTCCCTCAGTCTCTTCACTTGTAAATTGGGGATAATGATGGTACCTTCTTCATGGAGCATGAAATGAATTAATACCTGTAAAGTGCTTATAGAAGTACCTCGCACATAGAAAGCCCTCTCTCAAAGAGTTAGCTATTATTACTAATTTGATCACATAAGCAGACGACCTTAGACAAGTCCTTTTGCCTGACTTCTGCAAGATGGGAGTTGCTTGACCTCTTCATTGAATGGCCTCTCCTATCCCCAGCCCTCCTCCTCTTCCCTCTCTAGGCATCAGGGACTCAGGCTGTGATCAGAAGGAGGGGTAGAGATGTGCCTGGCAGAGAGATGGGTGGGGGAGGCAACAAGACAGGTGTCAGAGGAGAGGACCTCAACCCAACCCCCAGCAGAAAATTGAGGGCATGCGGAATTTCTCTACGGTCCAATGTAGAGTGATTCCATCTTGAATCCCTCACTCAAGGGCTTGTCCTGATTGGGAACAAGGGTGCAAGGGATGGGCAGAGTAGGGTGGTGAGGGGATGGTATGTTATAGCTGGGGAAGGTTTGGAGCTGGGCCTGTGGACCTTCACCTAGGAAGGATGGGGCTGGGGGAGGGGCAGCCCAGGCCCAAGGTCACAGTGTTATTGTTACCATGGCAACAGCCTCCTCTCTACAGGGAACCTGGGAGGGAATGGGGGGAGGGAGCTCCCAGGTCTCTGAATCTGGGGACAGAGAGAGGAACTGAGACTCAGAGAAGTAAACATAGGATTAATTTATATCTATGAAGACCTGCCCATCTCAGAATTTTTAGAGCCTGGTACACTGTGGGTGCTCAATAACTGTCCCTCAGAGACAGAAACAGAGAATCTGAGAATATCAAATGCCCAAAGATGCCAGGAGAAAGGATCTTCAGACAGGGGCGGGTAGTAAGCCCCTTTCCTGAGGATCAGGATCCTCTTCGCATTCCCAGCTCTGGCCCTCAGACCTACCTGACCACGCAAATCACCCACCCCAGTAACTCCCGAGCCCCCGAAGCACTTCTGTTTGATCTTTCAACAACTTTTCTGCCTTTAAATTATTCCTGCCTGGGGGCTCACTGAAAAAAGTAGCATTGAAGCAAGCTAATGCCTAGAGCTGGGGTGAGAAGGGAAGACGAGGGGAAACAGGCATTCTGCCTTCTTTACTCTCAGGGACCCAGATGTCCTTATTCCCCTTGGGAGTGGCCCCTCCACGGATTCAAGTATTCCCCTGATTCCTCCTGGAGTCCCGGCCTCTCTCGTTCCCGCCTAAGAAACCCTACAGGCCCCTCCCTTTCACTCAGAGAAACAGATATTCTCCTTTCCTTCCAGGACTCATGGGGCATCCACTTGGTCTGCCTGCCCTCTGCTGGCCTAAGGCTGGTACTGCAGGGACTGTCGACTAGAGCCCACAATGAGACAGAAACTGAGGCAGAAGGAGGATCTCATTTAAGTTCTTGCATTTTAATTTCTTTAGGGTCTCGGATGGTCAAGTCCTAGGTGTCTGAGTCCCCAGTTCCTTTGGGGGACTCAGACATCAGGAATTCAGATCCCCAGCTCAGAGGTCAACGAAAGAAAGACAACTTCTCTTGGAGCCAGGCCTCGGTGAGGTCATCAGTGGTGCGGATTTCAAACACCTGGGCAAAGAGAGTTTTCAGTATTATGACCCACTTGAGAAGTGAGATAGTGAGGACTCCGGCCCCCTCCTCCCTCAGACCAGGATCCCATTCCCCAGCCCCCTCCTCCCTCAGACCAGGATCCCATTCCCCAGCCTCCTCCTCCCTCAGACCAGGAGCCCAGGGTCCCCCTGGTCCTTCCTCCTTCACCCTGGGAGCCTCGGCCCCAGGCCCAGACCTTTGTGAGCTCTGCCGTCTGTACCAGTCTGTTTTTACTCCCTGCATACATCATCTGTTGCTCGGGCTTACAGCCTGCATGGAAAAGAGAAAGGAACATAACTGAGGGTCCCCAGGGTGTTCTCTAAGGCTCCAGTAATGTCCTGCGGGCCCTGGAGTTTTCCAAGTGTTCTAGGAGCTGTTCGAGGAGTTCCCGGAAACTACACTCAGTTTCCGGTATTGTCTAGGTGCTTGAAGCTATTCCGAAGGTCTCTGGAGATGGTTTAGGGGCCAGACAAGAGTTCTTAGGTAAAAGGAAGAGGTTTCTCTGCTTACACATCTGGGGTCTGAGAAGGATGGGTGGGCTCTTGAGGAATCTGGGCCCCCACCTCCACCCCGTTGCCCTCCCAGTACCTGCATACCACATATTCCACCCATTCATGTACTCGTCAAGTCACATACACATTCTCACACACTCACACAGGCACCTATGCACATTCACACACCTGTACTCACATACACATTTACACACCCCCACACATAGAATCTAAGGCTCTATTCTCAGGATAGGTAGAGCTGTGTCTCACCCACAGGACTGGAGAAGATGAAACACAGTGGGTAGGACACTCGGCCATCTGCGTGCACATACTTGTAGCTGTAAACCACGAACCTACACCAGTGAAAGGGAATTCAAACTCAGGTCTTTGGCTTGGAGTCCAGGCCCAATGCCCATTACCTGAGTCACAACCGTGAAATTTTGCCTGAGTCTAAGAACCCAGGGTTAACAACTGAGATCCAAGGTAGTGGCCTCAAACAGCAAATGATTAAAAATAACAATAAGTGCTAAATAGAACTACCATATGATCCAGCAATTCCGCTTCTGGTTATTTAGCTAAAGAAAATGAAACACTAATTCAAAAAGATATATTGCACCCCCATGTCCATTGCAGCATTATTTACAATGACCAAGATACAGAAACAACCTAAATGTCCATTGATGAATATATGGATAAAGAAGATGTGGCACATATGTACAATATAATATTATTCAGCCATGAAAAAGAATGAAATTTTGCCACTTGTATAAACATGCATGGACCTTAAGGGCCTTATGCTAAGTGGAATGTCAGGCAGAGAAAGACAAATACCACATGATCTCACTTATATGTAGAATTTTAAAAACAAAAATGAAAAACCAAGCTCATAGATACATAGAATGGATTGGTGGCTCCCAGAGGCAGGGGGTGGGGGTAGGCAAAATGGGTGAAAAGGGTCCAAAGGTACAAACTTCTAGTTATAAAATAAATTAGCCATGGGGATCTAATGTACAACATGGTAACTATAGTTAACAATACTGTATTTCATATTTGAAAGTTGCTAAGAAAGTAGATCTTAAAAGTCCTCATCGCAAGAAGAAAATGTTTCTGTAACTGTGTGTGGTGACAGATATCAACTAGACTTATTATGCTGATCATTTTGCAATATATACAAATGGAATCATTATATTGTACACTTGAAACTAATATAGAGTAATATTATATGTCAAATATGCCTTAATAAGACATTTTTAAAAAGAAAAACCTAATGAAAAATAGCGCTTATTTGGCTCATGACAACACAATGACAGGTGCTATTATTATCCCCATACTACAGATGGGAAAACGGAAACCCAGAGAGATGAAGTTACTTGCCCAAGGTTCTAGGGATAAATATGAACCCAGGGAATTTGGCTCTAGAGTGTAAATGCTCAATCACTATGCTATACCATCCAGAGCTCTAGAACTCTGGGCTGAGACCAGGCCCAGCTACATAATTTGCCACGTTCAGTGCAAAATGAAAATGTGGGACCCCTTGTTCCAAAGGCAGGAGAAAAGCTTTTTCCTTTCTTCTGCAGTCTTTCCCCAGACGGATCTTTTTAAGTTTGCAATTTAAAGTCCTGTCATCTTGGGCCTGGGGACACTCGCAATGAGAGTGCAGATGCTCACAGGTGCACTCTGGAACTTGTCACACGGGGGCGTGTGCAGACTCTGGCCCTGACCCTGACCCTTCCCGAATCTGCACTCGGGCCCCCTGCCTGGGGCAGAGGGCAGCAGCTCTCACTGGGCAGTACAGGGAATAGGTGGCTGAGAACTGGTCCAGGGCTGGAGGTGGGACCGCAAGCATGCCGAGGGAGGCTCCAAGTCCCCAGCACTTGCTTCATTGTCCCAGAAGACTTCACACAAAACACAAATTCAAAAATAAAACTAAAAAGAATTTCCAGATGGTAAGCAGCTGCAGAGCATTCCCTCACACGTTGGAGGCTCCCTTCTGGGTATGGGGCCCTGTGGGGACTGCGCTTGTCAGATGCCTGGGAAGCTGCTCCTGGCTGAGATCTAGAGCCTGGGATGCAGGCTCAAAATCTTCAGGCCCCCAAAATTCACCCCAAGTGAGACGGACAATCTAAACAGAACAGTTTTCATAGACGTGTCAGCTCCTATGCACACAAAAAGCACCAGATTCATGTGGCTTCACACAGGACTCTCTAAACATTAAAGTTAAACAATTCCTCTGCTACCTGAAAAAAAAAAAAGGAAATTTTCTTTTCTCTGTATAATGTTGAGCAAGTGTCATGTTGAGACCCAAACCTGACAAAGTTTGTATTCTTAAAAGCAAGCTCTAATGTCGCGTATAATTATCAGTATTAAATTCTGCAATAAAATATTAGCACGCTGTACAAAAAGTCCCAGGGTAAGAAGTCTTGGCCTCAGACACAGAGATTCCAAGCCTGTGAACAGGACTGGAACCCAAGCAGTCCCTCCGTCTTCCCCTCCATCATCGCCCTTCTCCCCACGGCCTGACTCTCCCGTTTCTTCCGCCAGGATACCTGGGCTGTCTCTCTGGCAACTCCATTTTTAGTTCCTCTGGAGAAATGTTCTGGGGTGGGGCGGGGGGAGAAAAAAAAGACAGGAGAGAAGAAAATACTGCCATTAAGTAAACACTTTCTGTGTGCCAAGGCGCTGGTCTAAGAAACACACATGTATTAACGTTGAGCTCTTCCATAATCCTTTGGGGTAGGTCTTTTTATTATCTCTAATTCACAGGTGAGCAATACAGCAACTCTGGGCAACAGAGTTCAAATTTGAATCTGGGTTTAAATTGTAAGCGCTTCACTAGTGGACTCCCTTTGGAGGACCTGAGGGAGCCCAGCTCCTAGCCAGTCTCCCTTCCCTACCAAACCACCCTGGCCTCAGCCTTCACAGGCACCCCCTAAACCCTTATACAACACTATGAAGTAAGCCTTATTATCACCCCTGTGTTACTGATAAAGACAGTGAGGCCAAGAGAGGGTGAGGTCCACCCTTTAATAAAAGATTTCCACTAGCTTTTTGTCAACGCCTCTGGAAATTTTTAAGTGCCAGTAAGTTATATCATCATCATCATCATCATCATCATCATCATCATCATCATCATTTTATTGAGCATATACTGTGTGCCAGGGCTTCTTCTAAACTCATTACAAAGAATAAATCATTGAATCCACAGAAAACTCTATGAGTTTGGTACTGTTATCCTCATTTCACAAGAAGGAAAAAAGACCCACACACGTGATATCTCTCGCCTAGGGTCACAGCTGAGCTGGGACTTGCCCCCCAGGTCTTTCTGGTCCCCAATGTCAGACTCTTAGCATCAATTCCAGCCCCTTGGGTCCTCCAGTCCCACCCTATGCTTCTTGTGGCGGGTGGGGTCCCATCCGCCCCAGCCCCTCACCTGAAATTCTTCCTCCAGTACCACCATCTGTCGGTCTTTGTCCACCTTCACTGAGGACGGATGGCACACAGGGGTTAGCCACCCCTCCCATTCATCGGTGACACCAGCCCAGCCCTCCCCACTTGTCCCCACCTCCCTCCCATCCTCTCACGGGTGGCGCGGAGGGGATGACACTCACTTATTATGGCTGCATTGTCCGTCTCTTTACGAAAGCGGAATTTCCTCAGCTTTTCCTTCAGCTCTGGGTCCACCTCGCACACCACCAGGGAGTCAGACTGCAGGGGAGCCCGGGAAGAGCTGAGCTGGCCTGGCCTCAGCCCCTGCCCCCTGACCC